CACCGCAGCCTTGACCTGCTGGGCTCCGGCGATCCTTCCGCCTCAGCCTTCCAAGTAGCTGGAACTACAGGCGCGCGCTACCACGCCCGGCTAGTTTTTTATTTATTGTGAGATGAGGTCTTGCCAGGTTGTCCAGGCGCATCTCGAACCTGCGGGCTCAGACAATCCACCCACCTCAGCCTCCCAAATTGTGGGATTACAGGCTGAGCCACCGAGCCCGGCTTAATTTTTTTTTTTTTTTTTTTTGAGTCTCACTCTGTCACCCAGACTGGAGTGCAGTGGATGCTCCCGGCCACCGCAGCCTCGACCTGCTGGACTCCGGCGATCCTTCCACCTCAGTCTTCCACGTAGCTGGAACTACAGCGCTACCACGCCCGGCTAGTTTTTTGACTTATTGTAGAGATGAGGTCTCGCTGCCCAGGCGGGTCTCGAACCCACGGGCTCAGGCAATCCACTCACCTCAGCCTCCCAAAGGCGCGGGATTACAGGCTGAGCCACTGAGCCCGGCTTGATTTTTTTTTTTAACCTAAAAAGAACTTAGAGATCATTTAAAAAGAAAAATGAGACCCAGGGAGTATGGTTTGTGTCAGAGGCAGGACAGAAACCAGGTCCCTGGCTCAAATGCAGCCTCTGGAAGTTCTTGTGGGTGAGATGCGAGAAGCAGAAAGCAAACACAGACTCAAAAGATTTCTTTCCCTGGAGAACAAATCGCCCTTCCTAAGATGCAACATGCCTTCACTTCTCCAGTCTGAAGCTTGAGTAGCAAGAGCCACAGCACTTGCAGACAGTCTGCTGAGTTTTTGCAGGGATAGTTTAGGTTGGGGAGCATCTCCTGTGAGTTCATGTGAGGACAGCTAGTCCAATAGGTAAAAAAGTTGACACTATCAGAACCAGGACCCCAAGGAAAGACTCATTTGGGGACAATTCTACAGGTTTGGCCCCAGCCTGGGTGCCACTGTTTTGGGCTTGGGGCAGGCACAGCAGCCTGCAGGTGCCACATCTCCTCCATGGGGGACTTCAAGGTCAAGATCACAGTCCGGGTACTTGCAGGAGTCAAACCCTCAGAGGCCAAAGTGCCTACTTATTTACTCACCAACCAGGTGCTACAGATCTCTTTCCACTGGGATATGGAAATACCTGAAACACCACAGAGCCTGCCTTCAGCACTGGGTATGGAGAAGAAAACCTTCAGGGGGCAGAGAGGAAGCAAGTAGCCCTGGTCCCAAAGTCAGGAGTGCTGAGGCCTTCCTGAGAGCAAAGTCCTCAGAGGGGCTAAGACAGCAGTGTGAGTCAAGACCAGCAGAATCTCGTTCTTTTTGGATCAGGTAGTGGTTTATTAAAAATATTAGGACCCAGCCGGGCTCGGTGGCTCAGCCTGAAATCCCACGCTTTGGGAGGCTGAAGTGAGTGGATTGCCTGAGCCCATAGGTTTGAGATCCGCCTGGGCAATTTGGTGAGACCTCATCTCTACAATAAATCAAAAAAATTAGCTGGATGTGGGGGCGCATGCCTGTAGTCCCAGCTACTTGGAAAGCTGAGGTGGAAGGATTTCCTGAGCCCAGCAGGTCAAGGCTGTGGTGGTCATGAGCTTGCCATTTGTAATCCCAGCACTTTAGGAGGCCAAGGTGTGAGGATTGTTTGAGCCCAGGAGCGTGAGACCATCCTGGACAACATAGTGAAGCCATGTCTCTACAGAAAAAAAATAAAAATAAAAATAGGCCGGGCTCAGCGGCTCAGCCTGTAGTTCCAGCTACTCGGAAGGCTGAGGCAGAAGGATCGCTGGAGCCCAGCAGTTCAAGGCTGCGGTGGCTGGGAGTG